ATATCATCATAAAGTTGGGAAATATGACAAAACTGTGAGACAAAATTTGTTAATTGTTTAGGAACGTAGAGCAACTTTAATATTAACGGCGCAAATATTAGACAAGTGTACAAGCTGGTGAATATAAAAGACTGCTGCAATGGTGGTACTCTCATATATTTATTGGTTTTATTTGTACCTCAATATACATAAAATATCAAAAGCTACTCGATAGTCTACAATGGAACATTTAGGTCAGGATTTATGGTTGTTTTGTAGAAATATGGTCTCATTTCTATTTCGCCTAAGTTGCCCTGTTATAGTTCGTTGTTCATTAGATTCCCCTTTTGTCTTCACCCCTGTGTCTCATGTTTACGTCTTTCAGTGTTTCCTGTTTTATTTTGAAGAGTCAGCTGTCTCCATGTTCAATGTGTTTTGTTTTACTTCCCCTGTGGTGTCGTTATGTTCCTTTGTGTCAGCTGTTTCCCCACTTCCCTCATTAGCCTCCTCTGTGCCTTCATTCAGTCTTTGTCGGGTTGTCTGTGTTACTTTCACGATGTCATGTCACGCCAAGGTATTTCATGATTCAGCTCAGGTCATGCTCACGTTCCATGTTCCTGTTTTTTCCTCGCTTTTTGCATGCTCCTGCCCTGAATCGTGTTCATGTCTTTCGTTGCAGTTGTCGTAGTTTAGTTTCTTCCAGTTTAGGTTTTAGTTTAGTTTTCGTTCCTGTTCACTTTACCGCAGGCTTGGCCAACTCCAGGCCTCGAGGGCCGGTGTCCCTCAGGTTTTAGATGTCATCCTGGGTCTGCACACCTGAATCAAATGATTAGTTCATAACCAGGCCTCTGGAGAACATGTTGAGGAGGTCATTTAGCCATTTAAATCAGCTGTCTTGGATCAAGGACACATCTAAAACCTGTAGGACACCAGCCCTTAAGGCCTGGGTTTGGACACCGCTGCTTTTCCGTGTTTTTTGTACTCATGTTATGAGCCAGAACAAAGGGCTCGCTTTTTTATTATTCGAGTTACCTTTTTACGCTCCGTTTTTTGATCTGCATTTGGGTCCAGTATTCACTCTACACCAGGGGTAGGCAACTCCAGGCCTCGAGTGCCGGTGTCCTGGAGGTTTTAGATGTGTCCATGATCCATCACAGCTGATTTAAAGGGCTAAATGACTCCTCAGCATGTCTTGAAGTTCTGCAGAAGCCTGGTAATGAACTAATCATTTGATTCAGGTGTGTTAACCCAGGGTGGGATCTAAAACCTGCAGGACACCGGCACTCGAGGCCTGGAGTTGCCTACCCCTGCCCTACACACTGTCACCTCCCGCTGCCTGTGACAGAAACGTGTGGGGTATTTTTCTGGCTACTTCATGAACAAGAATGTCTAAGATGCTTGAGTATATGAAACACAGTCCTCAAAATAATGTTTCACAATGCTCGTGACCTCACTTTGGCCTTGGGAAAGAAACTTAAAATGTGAAGGGAAAACCCTGAGTTACAGGGTTACACTATGCTTTTATTTTTAAATTCACAATGTTTTTAAATGTTTGTGTTTAAATCCACAACCTTGCTGTCACTTCACAGCAAGGTTTCTGGGTTTGAACCAGCTGGTTGGTTGAGAACTTTCTATGTGGAGTTGTCATGTTCTCATTTCCCTGTGTGGGTTTTCTCTTTGTGCCCAGCCAGCCCAAAGACATGCTCATGAGATTAACCTTTTAAATTTGTCTGAGGTGTGTGGGAGTGTGTGTTTGTCTGCTTCATAAGTACTAGAACACAGAAGACAGAACTTCTGGTTCTGTAGTGCTCTCTGGACAGCAAATATTTATTTCTGCCTTATAAATGTTCATCTAATTTATG